TTCGTAAAATCTTGTTTCGTTGTGAAAAATGTGTTCGTATTATGAACGAAAGTTTCGTACATTGTACAAAAACCAAGACTACGAAAGTTTTTCGTAGGACTTTTACGAAATTTTATTTTCAGTGTACCGAAGTTGACCGCGCACGCACTTCACAAATACAAATGAATGGGATTAGATGAAATCAGATTGCAGAGGTGCTAACTTTATTAAAAATATGCCTATATGAACTAAAATTACCAAGTTGCTTTCCTTTGGAAATTTACCAAAACAATCGAATTTTTTCTATCAAAACTCGGATTGTACCAAATTTTAGCATTGCAATATTTTTGAGGTAAAATTCTATTCAAAATCGAATCTTTGAATTTTATTTTGTTTAATATTATATTATAGTGGGCGATGTGAAATCTAGGTTGGGTTAGGCAAGCTGGTTAGCCACTGCGTGGATTCGCAGAGACCATTAAACATTACCAGATAATAAAGAACTGCAAAATTCAAAATTTTCTGTGAAAACTTTCATGCATTGCTATGTCATGTCAACTCAAACAAGGTGTTATGCCATGTCATTCCATCTCAAACATACTGTTTTAGCATGTCGTTGCTACTTAGCTAAGCTGTTGTTCGCTGTTGTGCTTCTGTAGCATATTTTTGATACTGTTTGATCCTGCCTTGGAAGAAAATATATACAGGCTTTTAATTAGACAATTCTTTAATGCATTTTACTACAATAGGTGCTTGAAAAATTTACAAAATCTCTTCCTGTATATAAAATGTAATTAATAGTGCTGACTATGTCGCATGTGTCGCATATGTTGCTTGTGTTGACATGCATAGATTTGATGCATGATTTGATTTCAATTATTCGACAGTGTCTTCATATGTTATTGTGAAAAATGTATGAGCGACATAATTTGAACTGGCACTTGCATGATGTGACACATGTCGCTATGTTTAATAGTTCAACATTTGCAGGCCTTTACCAGATCACAACGACTACAACAGTAATATACAGTTAATCACCGAACGCGAGGAGAAATGCTGAAAAACATCGGAGTCTTCTTGGAAAACTGGAGAACCTTGTTGTACGTTATCTTGGCAGTGGTGGCTTCGAAGTTAAGCAGAAAAGTCTTCTCCCAGGAGCCTAAATCTGCTAAGGCCAGGACACTCACATAATATATCGGCGCCTCCTCTAACAGCATAATTTCTGACAGGGCGCCTTCTTTGGCTCAGTAGCACCGCCGCTCACCTTATAGCTAATACTACCGCTTGGAAAATGCTGTCTGTAGTTGTTCGGCAGCTTAAAGAATTTATTGAGACCGAACTCCGCGCAGACGACTGCCACCCCTCGCCGTTCTCCATCTTCGACCCGTCTGTGTAGACATTCACCGGGCCAGCATTACTCATGCCCTCACGCCAGCTGAGGTCGAGACCTCTATAGTGGCTTCGAAGTTCGTCCCAAAGTGCAGATTCGGGATCATGTAGTCAATGCGTCCGAGTAAAGACGCTATATTATTGGGCGAAAGGTCCGCGGGCAAGGTGTAAGGTACTGCCGTTATTGTTGTCCTTTTTACCATTTTGAGAACGAAAAATGACACTGAAGATGGCACAATGCCGAAACCGGTTTGTCTGCAAACCAAACATGACAAGGGATGACGGAAATTCGTTCCAAAATAAATCATTTTGAGAACGTTTCTTCTCCATTGCTATCCACCAAAACAGTACCCCATGTAAAAGTATCTGCCTGAAATATAAATAAACAAATAAAAAAAAATAAAGTAAAAATTTGTGTGACTTTATTTCTTTGTAAATTTTGTTGAGTAAACGCTCTCGCTGCCCATCGCTGTTCTTGAAGCAGCAATACATCCTTTTCAGGTCGCAATAATCAGCGTTCATGCTCCTGTGTTAAGCAAACGTTTCAAATTAGGAATGAGAATTTGTGCGGTTCGTGCGATTGCAAATGACGATATCAGGGTCGGCGATGCTGATTTGCAATTAAAACTGACTTACCTCTTTTGTTTAATTATTTATTCAGTTAAACAGAAAGACCGCTAGCAGAGCAAACTGATACGTTTGGTGAAAAACGTTTTGAAGATTTATGGTTGCGTTCCCGAAGTGATAAATTTTCTTCGGACAACTTTTGAATTAAAATCAAACGGCAAAGTTTTAGGTTTATTCAGTACTATGCATTATTTATAAGAGGCACCTATGTGTCAGCAATGTTACGAATGTACGCTGGCGATCAAAACCGAGTGCATGTACGACATTTTATTACTAACAGTAGCATAACTTTTTTAATAATGAGCAGATTGCTTTGAAATTTTCAGCAATTGGTCCTTATTATCCAAGGAATAAAGCCTAGTATACTGAAAAGCCAAACAAGACACAAGCGATTCACAGCAAAAACTTAAGGCAACTCTATTCACTCAGTTTTGAACTTTTCTACATTTGCGATTTTCGAAGGTTGATACCAACAGGATTGTGGAGACTCCCTTTTTTTAAAATTGCGATTTTCATACGTCCGAGAACGCTCTCTACTGAGCTTTCTATGATTTCGCTTGGAATATTACCCCGTTATAATTTTACTCGTATCTAAAGCTCTACCATGTTACTCGGAGATCGCTTATGCTATGCCAATCGCCTTTCGACCACAGCGCAAAATTTGTCGACGGTGTTGAGATCTGGACTTCACTTTAACGTGTTTTTCGGCTAATAAAATTTTTCCTGATGGATTGTGAAAGCGTTCCCGAAATGATTTATCGGCTATTTTGGGTGATATAAAATAAAAATGAAAATGTATTTGACTGAGCCGATGAAATGTGACGTTGACTGTCAATTATGTATTTCAATCGGCAAATGAGATAAAATTGTAAATTTACTGCAATTTTGGACTAAACACTCTTTCCAATTGCATTTCTTCTTAAAATGCAACCACCTTTTGCATTCATATTAAAAAAAAAAATATTAATAAATAAGTTATAGTAAAACAAATATTTTTAAAGCAAACTTTCTAAATATAAACGAAATCGGACTATAAATACGGGGTTTTCAATTATCTGGACTTCTGCGCCTTCTATCGGATTTATTCATCAGTAGGGATGGCAGCGATTAATCTTTTGATTAAATTAATCGATTATTTTTGGCCAATTTACGATTTAATTGTATCGTCGTTTTTTGTTCCAATAATTGATTATTAATCGTGCGCATATGATCTTATGGAAACGGATAGCGAGTCGTCACTTTTTTCAAAAGCTGGTGATGCACCCACCGAGAACAACAAGACGCTTATCAAAACTTTTGCTTTGCAAACTTGGTTAAATAATGAATAATTATCGTCGCTAAAAATACTAGTTTTATTTTATTTAAGGCTAATTAACAAGAGAATTAGAAAAAATTTTGTATGGAAAAGTGCTTTTGTGAATACCCACTGTGAAAAGTGCCTTTGAAAATTCGATTTATCGATTATTTCTCAAAAATTGCAATAAATTTTTTTTTTTGCTTGTGATTAATTGTCTACATATTAATACGCTAACATAAATTTTGTCTCCGTTCGTTTGGCGATTCTACCAAACCGATTGTTTTACTTCGTATTGGAAATTAAACTTTGAAATAAATATATAAATATGAAGATGAGGAAATAAATGATAACGATGAAGGCAAAAAAGAGGAGGTAAAAGTGAAGATAAAGACAAAAATGAAGACAATGAGAAATACATAAGAATTAGGGTAACCTAAAGAATAAGAAAATTAATTGAAATTTTTTGATAGGAATCGAAATAGATTCAGTCATAAAAGTTATCGAAATGTATCGAATCATCGAAGTTAAGTTGATATATGTTTATTGCGTTGTCAAAATTTACAGATAGCTATACGAGCTATAAAAATTTATGGGATTATCGAAAATTTTCAAGTTAATGAAATTTATCAAGTTATCGATATTTATTGAATTATCATTATTTATAGACTTGACGAAGTCTATCGAGTTATCGTAATGTATCGAGTTCTTCCAACTTACTGAGTTATCGATAGTTATTGATCTACTGAAATTGGTCAATTTATTGAATCGAAGGTTGTGGAATTTTCAAAATATATCGTTTTATCGAATGTTCAGGGTTATATAAGTTTATCAAGTTATCACTGCTTATGAAATTTTATCGTGTTATCAGAGTGCAACGAGTTATCGAAATTTTTCGATAGCTTTCTAA